GGGCGGGACGTAGACGTAGTGTCCAGCCAGGTTTTTTTTTAGAGTTTTCCAGTTTTGCTGCGTTTGAAATGTACTTTCATTTGTTGATTTATACTTATTTAAAACGTACTGGATTAAGAAAATGATTTTAGTTTTTATAGAAACTTAGTAAAAATAAGTTTTTGAATAAGCGGCATTTGTTGATTGATTCGTATGTCCAGACGCGTAATCTGATAAGGCATTAGTCCCGTAAGTGTAGAGCATGTTTTTATCGCGGAGGTGGCGGTGATCTTCTCCCGCTGGCTAGTAAGATCTGGTGCCGACCACACATCGATCAGAGGGATGTTTTCGCACCAAATTACCTCTCATCAGCGGGGCACCTCCCGAGCTAGGACAAGCTCTACGCCCTACGCCGACTGGGCTGCCGACACGAGTGCTTGTGGAGTGCATGGAAGTGTAAATGTGAGCCAGTAAGGGGTGAGGATAGGGCAAGAAAGGGGAAGGAGAGATGGCGTGGTCCGTAGCCCGTTTCTTTGGCCTGATATTGATCAGAGAAACCACGGAAACTACCAATCAGAGCAGCCGGACACTATAATCCTCCTCCAGACTCCGGAAGATCTCGACTTAGCTACCTATCTAGTGTCAAAAACACTTGACATAGTCGGAACAAGAACCCTAGGACCTCCCAATCAGAGGCACTGCAGTGACGTCAATTGATGTTCTCAGCCACTTAAGCTGGCTTAAGTGGCGTTGGTTTCTGGGGGACAGTACTCAATTTCCAAGAGCCTCCTTTCGCGGGGGCGCGGCTGTCATTTACATATCCATTCCTTTAGATATTCCTTCGCTTTCACCTCGATCATGACGTGTATGATTAAGAGCCAGGAAATAACTTGATTCTGGAAGTGATCTCACTTCTCTCTTTATTTTTCTTCTCCGATTTTTTTTAAATTTACAATGGACACATGTAGCTTTCGTAGGACACCTAGCCCGTCGAGGAGATGATTCAACAAAGAATTTGGCAAACGAAAACAGGCGAGTTAAAAAAGAGGTAAGGATACAAGGATTTCCCTCTTTCCTTCCTTGTCGTTGGTCTGTGATGGTGCTGCTTCCTTAAGTCAATGAGACAATGTGTTCATCATCACGGTGGAAGAGATACCTCACATAAAAATATTGAGAGATTTGGCAGTAGGGAGCATCCCGTTTCTTCGCGATATTGACATATATTTAGATTTCTCGCTATCTCAGAAATTCTTAGAGCTCTACAGCTCGGAAACGCGACACAGATTCGTTGGTTCTACGAGTACTCTATCTGCCGTACTATATCAGAGTACATGTGGCGTATGTTATGGAGATTTTTTATATTAGTAGAATATTGATTTATTAAAATATTTTTAATATATTGATTTTAATTAATAAAATAATGATATTTTAATACAACAATCATAATATTTATTTGGCTGCAATTGGCTGATTGCCAGGGTATAACCATATACACAAACGTACTATAAAAAAACACGGAAAAGAAACTACATCTGCAACAAAAGATAGTAGAATAAAAAGGTTATGAACAGTATGACCTATGCAAAACCAATCGGCAACAAATAATATTTTTAAAAAATCATGTATTTGCATCCACTTAAACGAATTCCAAGCTTCCAATTATTCGTACATGCATGTATACATACATAATGTACAGATATTTACTAAATGTTCGCATGCAAATTAAAATGTATTAATTCTAAAGAAAAATATCTTTATTGTTTTAGAAAATCTCAGCGACTTACATTTACGCAGTTTACCTTCATTTCATTACATTAGCCCAGGGTGGTATCCCATCTAGATCGTTTTACAGCATGGAAAAATCATCATCCGAATATATTCGAGATAAATTATGCGAATGTGCTCAAATAAATACGTTATCGACATAATACAATATGGCAGGTAGTTGATGAATATAATGATTCAGCAATATCTTGACACATCGTAATAATTTGGCTTTCACAAGAAAAGGATTTTCGAAATGCATGTAGCCTTTCTTATAACCATCTTGTTTGTATCATTCCCGTTGCAAGAACTCAGGTATCAGTTGTCCCATTTGTTAGCAAATCGCAGCAGACTTACTGGTATAAGATTACAACTGCAAGAGCGTCTTCCGGCTTTAAACATTGGACCACAATGGGCTTTTCCAGTCGAGAGGCACATTATTTATTTACAATTCAGTACAAGTATGTAATCATCGGTTCTCCTTAAATTTTAACAGTCTCCGGCGATACCACCACACCCTCAAGATTTATTCATTCCTACCGAATACCAATTTGAAATATGCACTGAAATGTTTCCACTTTTCCCTTACCTGTTTATATATATATATATATATATATATATATATATATATATACATATATAAAACAAAAGAGAGGAAAACAAAGAATCCATCAAACTCTCTCGAACTTGTTCATTCTTTAATACAATTTACAGAGATAATTTTTTGTTGCGTTGTACGTTTTAGCGGTTACAATGTTTCAAGAGAGTCGTATAGTGAAGACATTATGTGCGTTTAGCGTAAGCTACTCTGACCTTTCTCTTCACTTTCCTGATATTGAATGTGTAATACTGTATCACTGTTATTTTTTGACTATCTTATTTGCAATAAACAAATAGGTATCTAAAAACACTATTCGTTTAAAAGAATTCCCTATTTCCTCCACGTCACTACCATGTGATTCCCAGGCGCTGCGGTTCCCTATTAAATACTTCTGAAAACGTATTGTGGCAGCACGACAGTAGTGAAATACGTATCCTTGTAATATTTCAAGCACCTAGTTCCCTGCCACGTCACCTGAAGAAACACACACTCCAGACCCGGTGTTGTTTTGAGCAATCAACATCTGCATTGGGCAAAATAAAGATATATTTAGCACCACTCACGCCTTTGTAGGATACTTGTAGCTATCTGAGTTAATCCGTTTATACTTTCTTGCACTTACTTCGTTATACGAGAAAATAATGTAATCGTGCGTCGGTAAATGACGAATTTTTGACGGAAAAGAGGTCGGGTGCGGGTAACGAAAACGTGGATAAATCTTCTTCCAATAAATAGTCAATTACTTCCTCGAACACCTTGTTTAATCAGAATCCATCTTTTGCACGTATTTGTTATCAAAATATTGCTTGAAGGCAAAACTATTCGTATGCCGGTCCGTCCTTTGTCAACGTTAGGGCCTAAACTGTTCTGTCGATTTTTTCCAAAATTGATATCCTCCCATTGATTTAAATGAAGTCGAGGCCCTCTTTATTTGAAACGAATATTTTAATTTGGGAAGTAATTTATTTTCAACATTTCTCATTGACTCAAAATTTTCATTTAAATTTTCTCGAATAACTTAAAGGACGTTTGAGAGAATGGTGCAAGTCTTATTTTCGTTGAAATCCTTCAATTTTCGAAAATTGCAATTTTAATTTTTTTGGCGTCTTTTTACAACTACAATAACGAAGATTCAGTTTTCTTTTCTTAACAAAATATGTTATTTAAAGACATATCTTAAAATAAGGTCATACACGATTTTTTCACGAGTCATACACGTAGTTTTCGCGTAATTTTGTGTGAAATTAGGATATTTTATTTTTTTAAACAATTTTTTTAGAAAAATGGTTCCCAATTTGTTCTTTAAATTTTCTCCTCGTTTGAATCAAAGGACGGTAAAACTTGGCACTATTCTCAATCAGGTGAGCACATTGTATTTTCAAAAACTGCTCAATTTTAACATTTCAAAATTACAAAATGAAGAGCTTTTGCCTTAAAAATCTATTCTAAAAAGTTTGCTCATTAAAATAACATATACAATGTTTTGAAAAAACTGGTCGTTTTGGCGTAATTTGTGCTTGAAATTTATAAAATAAATTCTCAAAAACAGCTCAACATTTTTTCCTCATTTCTCCCAGAGATAGTACAAGGCACGCTTGATAGAATGACAATGGTCTTTGTATTCTCTGAATTTTCGAAAACTGCAAATTTAGAAATAAAGGCAAAAAGTATGTGCTGTTGAGCACCTCTAGTTCCAAACGAGTTAATTAACGAGCTTCTTGTGTCTAAGACCCCTTGCCTGCTAAATTTAGATATCCCCAATTATAGTTCTCGACAGAAGACACGGACTTCTAGTTATTTTTACTAATGAGTACAATGTTGCTTAATAAGAATTAAGCTACTTTGTGCTCATTAATGAGAATTCGAACCGTGATATTCTGCGACTATACTTAAAATTGTATTGTTCCCCATTCTACATAATACAACTCACAAAATAAGATGTAAATTTTCAGCAAATATTTCAAAACAAAAATGCGGTCTGTTACGTTATATTCACGGTCCTTTCTGGATAAAATGAAACGAGAACTAAATATTTCTGCGTTGTTTATATACTCGGTCAGTCACGACTGCCTATAATTACACCAGGCCTATTAGTGTCATTTACTGTTTTGAATTCAACTATTTTTGAGTGGATATTCCTAGGATTCACCTACAGCAATCGCCGACTGCCAACGCCTGGACCGTCGACGCAGTGTACTGGCGCTGCACCGTCGTCGTCTTTGCTCAGCCTTCGCCGCGGCGTCCCACGTTGTCGTCCCGTCCCGCGTCGCCGTTGTTACTTAAATGAATTCAAATGGCCTCCCGAACAAAGTTATCACGTTTTCCATTGGGCGTATAATCTGAAATCTCCTTGGAAGTAAATGTAGATGTGATACGGACTCTGGGAACAATCGAGGAAACAGATCTGGGAGGTGCGTGACGGAGGACTTTCCTGCCTCCATTACGATTCTCAGGTACTTAAGAGAAACGGTTGCACATGACTACCTATCTTTTTAACAGGACTTAGGTTCGATATCCGGCTTCAGCTGCTAAGTTTTGATGTTGATCAAGAGTCATGGGAGAAATAGAGAAGCTAACTTCATTTAAACGTATGGAATTTAGTCAGTGAAAACTAAAAAAATGTGGATGATATCCGATACGCTGATGTATTAATCACGTAGAGCAAGTGTCACTGGATTACTACAACTATTAATACGATGGGTCTGAGCTTCTCTGAGGGAAGATGGATCACTTTCACGTTCTCTGACAGGCTCGCAATGTTTGCTGTCAATTATGTCTTGCATAAGCACATCTTGAAATTCAAATGCACACAACACCTATTGGCTACCTTCAGTTTTTCAATAAATACGCTTGGCTGCTTGACCATAAGCTCTCTCAAGAACAAAAAACAAAAATACACACACACACAAATATACTCGGGGGAAGACGTAATGATTTGATACTCCTTTTTTTCACAAGAATGTACATCTGTCCTAATCAAGAATATATCTCTCAGAATTTCACAAACAAAATAAGAAAATTCGTGAAACTTTACAATATTTGATGGAAAATTGGAAGACAGATATATCTGGAAAATACTATTACTGACTATATACTGTTAGTATAGAGTAATATTATAGAAGTGAGGAGCGAGATATTTGATGCTTTCAATACCACCTTCCAATACCAGGAAACAATGGTAAGGTTTCTTAAATGTTCGGAATTAAAACCGAATCAATATTGTTTTAAAGAATTGCAACTCAGAACGTTAGGTCTCCACTATCCTGTAATTACATTCTTTTAATGTTCTGTCGTGTCAGAATGTAAGTAAACGTATAGCGTACGAGAAGACAAGTAGGCACGAGAGAGAAAGACCCATCGTGATTTCTGAAAAGATATCTCCCACAAAAAAGACCATTGAGTTAACTGAGTTGATTGAGTCGTTTTTCAAACTGATATTTGAAAAACGACTCAATCAGACAATCTTGGCGATGAACAACAAAAAATCCTTACTATGAATTCGAAAAGAAAAATGGGGTAAAAAGAAATTAATGATAATTTTTTATTGTTGTATGATTTCAAGTTACAGCAACGGTGGTGTGTGGTCTTCACATTTCCGATCTCGATGCCAACTTTGCTTCAATAAATCAGAATGGTGAAAATACGGCCTGCATGTATCTCGAAATTTCATATACATAATTGTGTAAAATCTCTGCAAATCCGAAAGGAGTGAATTAATGAATTTCCGTCCATCATTATGGAAGTCTATTTTGAAACTTGTATTTGCAATAAAACCCAAATATAATTAACCTAATTTATGTTCATTTCAGTGTAAGTTTTTTTATTCGTTACAAATTATGTTAAGCGCAATCTTGTCACAAACGTACGTAAATTCTCGTAAAAAAATATATAAAAATATTTTAAACAATTTTGTATCTATGGCAGAAGACTGTTTTAAAGTGAATCAAATTAGCGATTCTTTGTTTGCATTTTAATTTGACATTATAAACGAGTTTAACAAACGTAATTCGCATGTAACTTCCAGAATACATTTTAATTAACTGCCCAATTATTTTCCCCAACAATACATACAGGCCTAAACTTACACTGAAACAATTTTTTTTCGTTTAATTATATATTTTGGGCATCAATTACGCTAAATCAATTAAACTGATGTATAAAAAAATTGAAATCAATGAAAAATGAAACGTACACAAACTGCTGTAATGAATTTATTAAGACAAGTTAATGATACTAAATTGAAGAAGAGTTTACCTATATTAAGGGAAACTAAATATTCAAAGATTAAATATGAAGACGTTAAATGAGACGTTTATCTACATCAGTTCCATAATTGTTTCAATATATTGAAGAGGTTATGCACACTCTATTAGTTCCTCTGTTAGCTCCATTTTCAACGGAATTTACTTGATTTAACTATATTTGAAAGCAAAGAGGTTTCGCATACTGTAAATAAATTAGTGGAGAATTTTGTCGTCTTTTAAGTAATGAATGCTTTTAGAAATCAGGGACGAGTTTCATTATAATAATAGAGATTCTGAAAGCAAAAGAGATACAAATATTTCAACGTAGTCATTTATTTCCTACTACTGGTATTTATTGCCATAATTCGATGCGTTTGGTGATGTACAAAAGAACGTTAATTAATATTTTCCCGAAATTCAGAGTCATACGTAAATAACGCAAATTGTACAGTCTTCGAAGTTAAGTAATTTTGTTAAATGCTGGTAAAAACTTAGTAATAATAAGTTCGTAATCGAATAAACTGATATTGCAACTAATATATGTTAAATGAAAACGGTTTTCTTTTAAAAACCGTCGCAAGGGAGTATTGTCCCTGGAACAAACAAACGAGGATTCTATTAAATTGCAATGCATAACAGGTATTGCAGGTTTTCTGAGTTGTAATATTCAAATTGCGAAAGATCAACCGGTTTTTCACCAAAAGGAAGTCTCAATGACGTTCCGGTTAGTGACGTGAATTTGTGATACATGTTTGTGTTTAAGTCATGTTACCATAAACACTGAGAGGATGCCATACATCTCATCATTTGACACCCGTTTTTAAGCTATAGATGCAAAAACCCATGCTTCACAATTGCATGTCATCAGAATTATCATTCTTTACCATATTTTTAAGACAATTCAGGGCATAATTGCATAAACATTATATTATTATACCGTTACGTATATCATATTAGTTTCTACTTCTATTTCGTATTAATTAGCAAGCTTATTACTGATGATAAAAATAATGTTCAAGTCACGAATACGATGATCATTTAATGATCATTCATACATATGATTCTATCTATAGCGATATAATTTATGAATTCCAAAAATTATCATATCAAAATAAAATTGGAAGTCAGCAACCGGCACACTTCAGTTTCAGCAATCGGCACATTTCATGTCACAGCTACTATTGCTGACAACATTACTATAGATATTCAAAAAATCTTTGCATAACGAACAATGCGGAATAACATGTATTTCGACAAACTTCTCGTTCGTTTGCTGAAGCATAATTTTCAAAACTCTATTTGACCACTTTGATTTAACTGTAGGAGGAACTGTAGGAATGACAACACAACACAAACACACTCAAATATCCATGCACCAGGCGGAACTCGAACCCACCACCCTTCGAGCCGAGGCAGCTATGGCTCTTCAGACCTAGCGAGCTTGGCTATCCAGGCCGGCAATATGCAGACCCCCCCCCCACCAAAAAAACGCATTATAATTTTTTACATCAAAACGAAATAAATGGTATTTTCGTTTTTAGAAAGTTGTACTATTCAGTATCATCTAATATCACACAACATTGTACTTCTAAATTTTCGCGAACCCTTTACATAAATGCTGACACCAAGCCCGATGTTTATTTAAAAATTAAAACACAAGGTTTTCGTCTCTTCACACTATCTACTGTACTTTATTGATAGACTGAACTTTCATTACGAAAACCGACCCAAGAATATCTGAAAACAAGCAATTCTCCGGGGCGAAATAGTCTAATTAAATTTTGCATAATGCAAAATTATTCTTAGTCAACGGTATGAAGAACTGAATTCTTTTCTTTTATTTGACTGGATAAGATGTGCAGAGGCGAGAGATGGCATTTCTATGAGCTATTTACACAACGAGGTATTATAATTTCATGAAAATAATGATAATATATGTAATAATAATAATAATAATAACAATAATACAAAAACTGACGATTCGTAAAACGTCAAATTGCAAGAAGAAAAAGTTTAAGAAAGACGTCTATAAATCTAAATCCGCGACTGCATGTTTGTACAATGAATATTAACAAGTGGTACTATGCTCAGGAATCCGGGCGTTTTGGCAAGCAGCGCCGCAGCTAATGAAGAGGAGGGGCGCGGCCCCCCGGGGGGGGGGGCGGAGGCCTTGAACCGCGCCGGCGGGCGGCATAACCGGCAACTGCGGCGGCCGTTGCGGCGCCCCAGGTCGCGCTGACCTCAGCCGCCGTTCCACTTTGCGCGCGCTCCACGCGACGCGGCCGCGGCGGCGACGCCGTGGGGGGCGGGACGTTCGCCATCCGCCCGCCCCCGCCCTTCGCGACGGGCGCCCTACCCTCGCCTCCCTTCCCACCACATGTCGCCTCGTCTCGTCTCGTCGCGCCTCGCCCAGCCTCATCTCTGCCTAAACCTGTGCCGGTACACCCACCCAGCTCCACGTGTAATGTAGTTTTGCTCGAGACCTCAACGTGCTACCGAAACAAGAAAATCAAATCAAGAAATTTACCTGAAATTACCCAATAAAGTTCACTTAATCAGAAAAAAACAACAACAAAAAATCACATTTCGCCCTTATTCACAAGCGAAAATATTGTCAAACATCCCTCAAAATATTCTCCTTACATCTCCTTTGTCGCCGACGCGACTCTCCTCTCACCTTGCCACATCTCTCCTCGCCGGCTTCATATCATCTTTGATAGAATAGACCCACCCAATTTCATGAGTAATGCAGTTTCATGTGTACGCAGAAGAAACAAGCTTTTAAAAAATGAACCGCTATTAAACTTAAAGTCCATGCGATCTGGAAGAAAAAAAACAAAAAAAAACTGTCCAGTTGTTAAGCCGTCAATTTTCTTGGTAACTGTCGAAAAGTATCACTCCAAAATATTCTCTATACATCTCCTTCATCGCCGATACAAGGTATGAAATCCCTTGAACTCACATGTGCGATAATGTAGTGTATGTAAGTGTAATTTTATAAAGGGGAAGGAGGGAACAAGTATGAAAATTGATTGAGTGGTGTAGCGCATGGCTTTATGGCGAGAGGTAGCGATCTTCCCTCGCTGCATGGTGAGATCCAGCGCCGACCAATAAGTCGGATTGCTGGGTTTTCCCCAACCAGGTATCTTCCATCATTAGGGCATCGACCGAGCTGGGTCAAGCTCTAAGCTCCCGACATATGTGGTAGTGTAGTGTGTTTAAGTGGGTGTAAGGGGAAGGACAAGGAAGAAGGAATGATTCGGCGCCATGGCCCGTTTAATAGGGTAATGCTCCGGTATTCTCTTGGTGTTGATTGGAGAAACCACTGAAAACGACGATCAAACAGCTAGAATTATCCTTCAGACAGCGACTGAATTCTACCTACTTCTGTAGCTAATTGTCGCAAATGGTGCCACCTGGGGGGGGGGGAGGATGAGGAAGAAAGGAATGCTCGCGACACATGCTATGTTTGTTAGGGTTCTGTTCGGCATTTGCATGGTATTCATCAGAAAAATCACGAAAAACTACCCCTAAAAAGAGGAAAACAGGCCGTTAGGTTTCTCCTCCACAGAACGACTGAATTCCTTCTAGCTATAAAGATAGTGTCAAAAAACCGCTATCTGAACTCAAACTCTAAGACCTCTCAGACAACGACACTACAGAATTTTCACAGCAAGTTTATTCAGGATCTCATTGGATGATTCTCATACTAAGGACTTTCTCAAGAATATATTTAAAGTTTGATCATCATGAACAATTTTGATAATGTTTGTTTGATTATTACGTAATTTTCTTCAAAGCGTGCTGCTGTCTACATGTCAAAAATATATTGCAGACTGGATTAATAGAGTTCCTTATATTGAGACAATTCCACTACACCATGAAAATTTAAGCGTTTTATCGAAAACTCTGAAGTGAAACAATTTATCGTTACTCATCAAATTAGTTGTCAAACAAAATGACACAGATCTCGTGCTATTGGTAACGGTTAAATAAAATTGTAGTCATATTACAATTTATAAACGCAGTTGCAAAGAAATACAATGAATAATTCAGTTACGTTTTACAAAATTGAGATCACCACGATCATTAAGAATGACAATTGCATAAAAAATTAAACATACAAACATAACGTTAAACAATAGAATGTCGCAAATTCAAAACAAATTTTAAAAATTCCAAAAAACTCCAAATAAATTAAGAGAAACGTAACAAACTGAGAAGGAACTTCGACTAAATAAACTCCCTGCCTTCCTATACCGTAACCGAGTTCTAGTAATAAGTTACGCTAATCTATGTAAAATCAGTGGATTGAACAGATATAAAATAAAGCTGTTAAACAAGTAATTTGAAAGTGAAGGAAATATATTGAACAGTTTAATCATCAGATTCTCAGATTTAGGCAAAAAAGATTTTAAGAAACAAATTTTCGGAAAAAGCCCAAAGACGTGTAAGTTCATAAACATTTCGGCATATATTTTTTGTGCCATGAAAACCCTTTATGAATATTTACCCTTTATGAATATACTTATTTACGTTTACGAGAAAAAAAACTGAAAAATTATTTTTATTTGACATTGACGATTTTCATTTTATCAATTAACGCATTGGAATTGTCCAGGAGCATTCTAAAATTGGAGAACAGTAGGCACAAAAAATCTAATTTGTTTTTGCTTTAAAGCCGTATTCTTCGCTACCAGCATTTCTGTAAGGTCTGCCCACAGAGAAACATAATATACTAATAGACGAAAAGCAACAAAGTGTTCACGTTGCAAACAAATACCACCCCGCCTCGCTTTGTCACAAGAACAAACAATCTGATGTTCTTCTATAAACTTCATTTTTCTCGCGAGCGTGTCTTTTCTCCCACCCCTCCTCGTGTGTCACTCGCAACGGCCGCCGCTATTTGTCTCGCAGTGCGGCGGCGGCGGGGCGCGGCGGGAGGCACCTTTTGACGGCGCCTGCAGGTGGTGCGAAAGGAATGGGCATGCGCAGGGGCCTGCGACGACGCTATGTGACGCGCGCGGCGCGGCGCGGCGCGGCGGTTAGCAATGAGACCATGGTCGTTCTTGCGACAGGCCCACGAGGGCCACCTTCGCCATGGCTGCAGTTCCACAACTTCAGACAGGCAGGCAGCAGATTGCGACGCCACATACCAATGCGCATAATATGCTACGTGGCTGCCATGGCGATTGGGTGGTATTCAAATACTTGACGTCTTTGCAAGGAATATTGCAACAAAATTTGCATTTTCCATTTCCATTATTCCATTTTAATAAGAGATGGGATTATTCTATTCGAATAGCGAAATTGAAATACAAACAAATTTCTGAAGAAAGAGAGAAAAACATATTACGAACGTGCGGCCTAACGGGGCTTTTCCTCTTCTTAGTGTTATTACTCAACAATTACTCAGAATTTCAAAATTCGTGCAAGACACTATTCAAACATCTTCAACTACATGAAGCTATGTGAAACCCATCGAAGCTACAAGAATAAATGTGATTGAAAATGGCTCGAAAGTGGTACATATCTTAAAACTTTGAGAGGCAAGGATGCACAGCGAAAATGAGATATGTGGGATCTGGCTGCAGAAAAGTAAGAAATGTTCTACATATTCACTATACGGACATAAAAAATCCCAAAACGTTGTTTCATGTCGCTAAGTATTAAGTCTACAACGCTGATGAAGTGAGGGACGCTTGCAAATTTCATTCTGAAAATGTGAATGAAACGTTTTATACTTACCACGATGTGTATACGTATGTACTACGACAAAGAAATTCTGAAATTATAATAACTGAAAGTTTTGTGAAATGACATATCAACCGATTGCTGTGCTTTGCATTGTAATGTCTCTAATCTTTGCAAGACTTCGAACTTGAAGATTTGCTATCTTCGATTCAATACCTCTAAACTCGATCCACTCGCTTGCTCGAGGTGGAAAAATGCCTTCTTGAAGAAGTTCTTGTCACAATCAAATGACGCTTTGACCAAATGACAGCAGATAAATGTTCATTATATTAATTTTACGATTGTATTAAAATTGAATGTTTATATTACAACGTCAATTATAGCAAGAGAAAAGACATCTGAGGCACACTACGTTTCGTTTAAAGCCAAAATTTGGTTGAGTAGAAAGCTCAAATTTCTTTCCAAATGAAAACCCTTAGTGTTGTAACTAAAAAGACTTTTGCAGTTTTCTAAATGTCAGAGGTTTTGATGAAAATCAGAACTATACCAATACTTATAAATGCATTTTTTTCTATTCAAACCAAAAATATCAAGAAAAAATTCAGCCATTTTGTACAAAAGTCTGAAAATTTCACAGGGGATTCATGTAAAGTATCCACCAAAAGTAAAATATCTTAATAATCTCCTGAATGGCAAACTTGATATACTCCTGACGATGTCCCCTCCTAATCCATGTGCTTGTAGAATCCCGATTTTCGGACACAAAATTGCGTGTATCTCCTTCTACTTCACCAATCTTGACTATCTTTGTGACAGCACTAATAGACCTTAATCCTTACGCGTGTGCAGAGTTTTAGTTCAAAAGAACCTAACACTGTTTTTACTACCAAAAATTCTAAGTAAAAATTTATTTCACTGCGGAGATATTATTTACTTAATGCGTATTTAATAATACCTAACTGGACCCGTGCGAACCCTACGCACTTTGTAACGTATTGCTTTAAATCACCTTTAAAGTAAAAAGTTACAAAGTGCGTCCGAAAATAGCTCCCCGCTGGATCTAACTTCGACCGGCCTGGATCTCGCTATCCGGTGGGGGAAGATCACCGCCACGTTCTGAGGGGTAAACATGCACTACTCTTACGGGAATAATGACCTCAGTAGTTGGCGCGCCCGGAATCACAAACAAGCAACCAATCGAACGGCCAGTGCTTGAACTGTGCGTTACATCATTATACGCCTGGCGTAGGGTGTAAACAAACATTCTAATAGAAAAGCGTTGAGATAAAATTTCGCAGAAAAGCACATAGTCATTTTACTTTTATTGTGAAATATTTCTGTATCTCGTCCTTTGAAGTTTACATAGACTTCAAATTATTGTTCGTATTTGACCAGCCATGCAATGATATAGGGGCCTCCAGCAGATATAAATACCAAAAACATGTATTAGGTTTAAAAGATATTCCTTTTTTAGAATACTTTTCAGAAAACAACTCGTATCCTACCTGTCCCCTCCTCAATTTATGTCCTCTCAGAACTCACCGATCCCCCTTAAAAGACGCGTCCCGTGAACAAAAAAGCGTAATTTTAGGGTCCTCGGACGCTTCGTTTCCGAGGCATTTGTATGGCGTTTTTCAGTTATCGGTTCCCCAAGTTAATTTATAATTATTTACTTGACTAACGTCCATTTTAAAACAGCAGGTGTCTTAACATTTCTAAGCCCAAATTGGCCATTATCCTTTGCTTTGCATTAATGTAGGTATTTTATTATATTTTTATTTCCGAATTATTAAGTGCGTTGGATATTTATCACGTTTAGTTAATTGCGCAAATTGCCGATGAACAAATCGTCATTAAAAGTGTTAAGTCGTACGTACACATGTGTAATACTAGCAGTATCACTAATTCTTTATGAAAATATCATTATCTGGTAGCTGCTTAAGAGAGGAGAAAGTATGTGTAGATTCTCTTGTGCGAATATTGCGCTTGTTGTGCAAATCAAGTTTTACGGCTGTTTATGAACACAGGATACGATTTTCCAGTGGGATTCGTGCAACGTCATGTACGTTTACAGGTAGCTCTGTAGGATGTGGCAAGACAACAAACCGAATCACACCTCGCCCACTTAACGGAGAATCTCGCCAGTCACGCTCTGACTCCCCTTGATATACGCGCTCGCAGGTCCACACCGACAAAAACACGCACAAAGGACACACAGACCCACAAACGCGTTGTAAGGTCACACGCAAATGAATCCCTTTTGTCGTGTTCAATGGAGCATAGTACGAATCCATTCTTCTCGTCCTCTTTTACGTTGAACACGGATCCAATTGCCGCGTAATCCATTCATATTTGTGTTAACACACCCATCATACACATCAAGTTATCCATTTTTTTTTGCTTTTACGTGTAAACTATAAAAGAAAAGTACAAACTGAAATATTCGATATCCACAATTTAATGAATACGTTTTTAGGATATATACCCCTTTATTGATGTGAAAATTACAAATAAAACACTCTTATTTTTAATCATTTACCATCATAATATGTGGAGTAGTTTAAATATTTGGCACTATTAATCACTTGCACGGAGGAAGATAACGAAAGACAATTCACGCAAGGCTGTAATTTTTCTATGAATTGTGGGAGTACCCTGCATTTATAATTATACGCTGATTCAATGGAAGGTAATAGACAATGCAAAGATAAAGTATGAGCAATGGAATTAATCTATTTTCGTAAACAAGACAACAAAATAACAAGCTCAGACAAATACCTGTTTGTTCATGTTCAAATGGGTAAATGTTAGATATGCACAAGCACGCCCATTCATAGACAAACAACAGGAAACATGAGAACACGAGAAGGATGAATGTTTATATACACAAACATACTGAGCACATTCAAGCAAAATGGATAGGTGTGGTAGGTTAATAAGCAAAATAACAACACGATTTTCATTGAGTTTACGTAATGACCATTACAAGGCTAAATGACTATCAATAAAACATAAGAAAATCCATTATCAAAGAATAATTCATTCAATAGGCGGGTGGATGGGCGGGTGGTTGGCCGGGCAATTTGTCGGATGGTAGCCCAGGCAAAAGAGCGGGACGTTGAGCGGGCGAGCAGCCCCTCGGTCGGTCGAAGTTGGATGTTTGAGCGGGCGGGCGGTTGTTTGGGCTAGCGGGTAACTGGGTGAGCGAGTATGCAGTTCGGTTGGGAGGGCGGCCAGTTGAGTGGCGGTGGAAATATACAGCCGACAGGGCGGTCAGTGAGGCGGCGTTCAGTGGTGAGGCGGTTGAATTGGCGGGCGACAGGGCGGGCACTGAGGCGCCGATCAGTTGAGAGGTGGTTGAAATGGGCGACAAGGCGGACAGTGGGACGATGGTCAGTTGTGAGGTGGTTGAAATGGCGGGCGACAGGGCGGGCTGTGGGGCGATGGTCAGTTGTGAGGTGGTTGAAATGGCGGGCGACAGGGCGGGCAGTGGGGCAGCGGTCAGTTGAGTGGCTGTTGAATTGGCGGGCGACAGGGCGGGCAGTGGGGCGGCGGTCAGTTGAGTGGCTATTGAATCGGCGGGCGACAGGGCGGGCAGTGGGGTGGCGGTCAGTTGAGAGGCGGTTGAAACGGGCGCGCCACAGGACAGGCGGTTGGGTGGGGACCGTGATGACGGAAGGGCGTGCGGTGCGTGCAGCTGCGTTTGCGCGTGATCTGCGTGGGCGGCATGCGTAAGGTGGGCGCCGCCCATCCTGGAGCGTCTTCAGCCTTCGAACGGCGCCTTCCTCTTCCTAAAGAGCTTCGTGTGTGCTTTCCCCTCTTCCTTGTCCAGAGCATAATGGCAGATGTGCGCGGACTTGCCAAATGCATTCGCTACTTTGGAATCCACGATCGCCCTTGTGAGGTTGCCCTTGTGGCTTGTGGGACTTTACCTGATTAAAGTGTTTCATGCTGTTTCGTGACGCGTTTTCACTGTAATGAAGTACTCATAAAAAAATCTTCCTGAGAGGTCGGACGGGTAAACGGTATGTCACCAAAACATCAGTTTTTTAACTGTTGTAGACAACTTTGCGTGAAAGTATCTTAGCAATATTTATTTACAGTATTAGGGAATTTTACATTTGATGATAAGATTACGTTTGGTGCCATTATGATGAGAATGATGGTGAATAATAAGTACGAAGATAGAAATGATGTTGAAATCAGGGACAAGGAAACGTGACGACTCAAAGGACACCTGCTGTGAACATGCTTTGTCCATTGGCTTTGTAACATTGAATGCATGTATGCATGGACGGAAGAATGTGTCAAGCATAACTATCCGATTACTCGTAAGAGCTTTTGAGCCTAAACAAATATATATTTTTATTTTTGGGGGTATTTTACATAAGGCCTTTGTGATAATTCTACAATTTTTTGAAAACTAGCCGGAATATTTTCTTTCTTTTGCATAAAGAGCAAATGAACGTTTAGACATGATATGTTATAATACCGATTGTTACAAAAATCTTCGAAATTTTGAAAACTGTGAAAGTTCAAATATTTTTCAACAGTGTCCTACACGTCCAATATTAAAGACAGAAATTTCTTTCTCAATGCAATTTATCCCTCTATTTTATATCTTTAAATTATATCATGCAATTTTAAAAAAGTAGTCGTTGAGTAATAATTTAAAAAGTAGGAAACGTTTCGGTATGCTGCGTATTTCCACTTGTATTTCGGGATTTAATACACGAACAACAAACGGTAATTGTTAATCAATACCTGCGCTTACGCACACAATTCCCATGACCTGTGCAGGGGATGAGAGGTCAGGTCACCAGCGTCTCGTTGCCTTCTACCCTAGATGGAGATGGTTTGGCTCCGTGCTATGGGCGCATTCAGTCCCCAAATATTTACAGTTACTTAAGCTTAATTGAATCTTAGTTACTCATTGAAAAGAGGTTGAGTGAACCTCAGGATTGCCCCGATTAATGCATTACCGGGTAAAAATAACTAACGATGCTAGAACTCTATCCCGGGAATCAGTTTAGGAAGCGAACTCTTATGCCAGCAGTTGCAGAAAGACATATTTCCTTTTCAGTAAAACATCTCCAACAGGTACGCAATATTTTAAATAAAGGTTCAACAAGACTCTTTCAAGAACCCAGACACATCAGTGTTCTTAGCATCAAAAGAACAGTGCGATTAATTTCTGTACTTTGTGCTACCATGTAAATAATGACGTCAACAGACATTATGAGCTTGTCTTCCCAGAAAGGAAGAAGTACGCAAACTTTGTTTTGGAAGTGGCCTCTTATTTCAGGAGGTTTTTCATACAAGCTCACAACTCGAAATGAGTGTGCAATAATAACTGATGAACTATTATCACGATTTGCAACGAATACCTACGTAAGAAAATATCCGCTGGTATTGTGCAAACCCTGCTGAACATTGCATACTTCTCCTTCACTATAACATACGAATGCTCTAAAACAATACTAATGAAATATTTCTGAAATATTTCCACCTATTGGAAAATTCATTTTAATTTAAACTTAACACATGAAAATTATGTGAATACACAACAGTAACTCATTAGCATGGTAAGTGACAAAACTCAATCAAGTCAAAGAATAATGAAAACCACCAATTTTGAATTGCTTTACAAGCATGATAAGTGGTTGGTAAGATAGTTCTAATTTCAGGTAAATATGTCGTGACAAATGCTTCATGTACAAAACGCATTTTGACGCGCATGACCTATCAGTGCCATTACATTTTATGCCGAGAATTAAACATTTCGAAAAAATATATCAGATTTTTCATGGTACTTGACATTACTTTTGATTATTATACGACATTTCTAACATTCCTGACACTGATACAACTGCTGTAAATTCTAAACAGAAGTTCCGTTATAAAGCACCAAAATCCAATATTCTTTGTGAAATGGTGCATAGCAGAAATGAGAGACACTTTTCAAATATCAAATGAAATGTTGAATTCTTTGATATACCCCTACCCAAAACCCTGTAATTCCAACACGCTGCTTACTTCAAACGCAATATTCTCATTGGCCGTATCCAGAATAGTCCAATGTACAGCTAAAACTTTGCCAAGTGATATCTCAGTGACTCGAGAGAGTAATTCTCCGCACTCCACTCTGTGTCGCACCTTAACCATGCGCAATACACGTCTCGGATTCCACGCGAGTCGACATGAATTCGCGTGGCGCAGAAGCTGTGAACGCCGTGCTGAAAGGGCGGCGAGCGGACGGGTGTGCGGAGGGCGAGGGAACGGTGGCAGATGCAGGGGGAATGCGAGCTGGGCAAAAGAGGCGACATTTAATGGTAAGATGGACGAGAGGTAATGGGCGACGACTAACAGAAAAATGAAAAGAAACAAAAAACGATGAAAAATGGGCGCTGGATGAACGAAAAACGAGTAGGAAAATGCAAAGGACATATACTACGTATATGACCAATGGCGGGAGGTACTAGGTGTCAGGAGAAGAAGCCGGGAGGTTGACGACGGTTTGCAATGGGTGGCTCCAGGCAGCGGGTAAATAGTAACAGATACTGGAGGAGAGCGGCGCGGAGAAGTGGACGGAGTGGAGGGGACGGGGCGGAGAGGAGAGGACGGGGCGGAGAGGTCGGGGCGGAGAGGGCAGGGTGTGGCGGAGAGGGCGGGGTGGAGGAGATGGCGG